AATTAATTCAAAAACTTCAAATGAAACCTATGCTGTAGCTGTTACCATGTCTGCAAAGGGCCCTTGCAGATAAAACAACTGAGAGCAATTTCTATATTTTGAATTGAACGGAAAAGGGTGAATTGTTGCAGTAGTGTCACAGTGCAGCTGGTCTGGACTGGCCAAAGAAAATCTAGACGTAAGTCAAATCTAGTCTGGCTAGCCTAATTTATGTGTGAACCACTGCACACCACTGGCCAGGAGGCTGGGCAGGGAAAGAAGTATCAGCCAATGGCTGTCTAGCCTGGGAAATTTGAACTGAGTATTTAAGTGAGTTGTAAATAATAAATGAGGCTGTTTGTCTCATGAGCACCTGCAGCGTGAGTTGTGCATTCTTTGTCTCCCCATCCACGACCATCACGTTACACACTGCCACTTCTTCCCAAAGCTCCTTCCAGACAGCATCTGCTACAGACACATCCCCCACTGCCATCCCTTGGCCAGGGGCCTCGTGGCTCATGCCAGACCCTTCTTCATCCCAAGGAAGCCTCCTCCCAGGAAGGGGGGAGCCCCCCACAGCCCAGGATTCTCCAGCTCAGCCCCCCTAGAGCCAGGCCTCCTTCTGAGCCCCACATGCCCTGAGCCAAGTGGGGATTGGTGGCCATCATTGGTGGCCACAGCAACCACAAATAAATTGAGGTTCAAACATAGGATAAGAGAAAAAGGGCCAGCAAAGCCTCAGCTCGCGGCATGAGGAGAGCAGACTTCAGGCTGCTCAGGGAACTGGTACGCAAGGTCCCCAGGAAAAATGTCATTGAGTGTGCTGGGCTCCATCATTGCTGGTCACTTTGGAAACATCACCTCCTGTGGCTGTGATGTGCCACAGTTGTCCTGGCCACAGCACTGTGGCATCATTGCCTTGTCGCTCTACAACACGGGCCAGCAGCCACAGCGGCCAGTGCAGTCGCGATGGGACGTGCCGGAGTCATGAATGACGGTGTTGTCCTGATGACTGTGCTTGTCCTGCTGCTGGCCGCTGTGGCTGTCTGCTGGGCTGTTGGCCACGGGCAACCACGGAGGCAGCAGACATGGAGGCCAAAGCAGAGCAAGCGCTGCTGGGTCTGGCCTAGAGGCTCACGGAGGAAGCGAGGAGCCCCTGTGGCTCCGAGATACTCCAGGCCCCTGGTGGCCCCTGGCAAGTGGCCACGTGCTCCCGCGATCCCTCTGGACAGCTCCTGCAGCTGGGGCTCCTGCATGGCAGTGGCCCAGGAGCTGCAGGAACTGATGCTGCTGCTCTGGGATCGCAATGGGACGTGTGTGCCACTCTATCCTGGGACGTGGCAGGCACTCTGGAGAGAACTGGAGGAGCTGGTGAACCGAGGCCACCTGGCCTGCTGTGGCTCGTCTGGTTCCTCCAGAAGCCTGCATCACCCCAAGAGGCTGCTCCCAGGAAAATTCTCCAGCCCTGGGAAAGCCTCAAGGCCTGCAAGGATGGCACACCAGCAGAGACCCACCATCCAGGCAGGAACGTCAGGCTGTCAGAGACCCTCCATTCTGCCAGGAGCCTCTGCTATCTCTGACAGCCTCCATCCCTCGCAGAGGCTCAGGGAGACCTGTCAGCCTGCAAAAGGTGCAGAGCCCACGGACAGTTCTTCCAGCTCCCTTGGACTCACAGACTTCAACAAGAAGGCTACAACCCTGACCATTGATGTGGCCAGCGAAAGCCCAGAAGTCCAAGTGGGAGCCCAGCCCAATCCAGGGGAGCCTTCTCAGGAGCAGCTGGCGGAGCAGCAAGCATCCTGGAAGCAGCAGTTGTCATCCCACAGCTGCCAGAACGCTGTGCAAGTTGTGCCAGCTGGCAACAGCCCAAGCCTGGTGGTGGAGACGACCCTCAAAACACCAAGGAGGTTCCTCCATCTCCAGGAAGCTGCCCCAAGACGGCCCTTGACTACCGCCAAGGCCTTTCTAAGAGCAGGTGAGATCTCCTGAGGAGCTGTCTGAGGCTGGCCCAGTGCTCTTGAGGGACACCCCAGGCCAGGCCATGGCCCCTGAGAGCAGCCCAGTCCCTGGCTGTTTGCAGTGCCAGTTCTGATGGCACGGCTTCAAAAACCCGTCTGGTTTGCAGCTGCTCCTGTGCTCCCCCTGTGCAAAGCCTTGGGCTGTAGCCCCGGCCGTTCTCAACAGCAGAGTCCAGCCCACAACGCCGGGGACAGTGACGGTGCCATCCAGCCACACTGCACTCCGGCTCCTGCAGCCTCTGCGTGCTCTGCTGTCCCAGCTCTGCTGCTCAACAGCCCGACGGCTGCAAGGCGGTGGCCACAGCTCGGCAGGCAGCAGGAAGCAGGTCAGAGCAACATGAGCCACACTGGCCCGGCCCGCTGCACTCAATGCGGGCATTTGGGGAGGTTCCTGGGCACAAGGCTGATGGCTCGCTCTTGGTGGCAGGGCAAAAGAAGAAGCTGCAGGAGCTGTACCAGCTGGGTCTGCAGCTGGGGAGTGGTGGCTTCGGCACCGTTTTCTCAGGCATCCGCCTCTCGGATGGGAGCCCTGTGAGTGGCCGTGATGGCCGGGCGTGCGAGGAGGGTGAGGGATGGGGAGGGGCAGGACTTGAGCTAAGCCTCTCTCTCTCTCTCAATGGCTTGCAGGTGGCTATTAAACGCGTGGCTCGGGACAGCGTCCTGCAGTGGGACGAGCTGGTGTGTGAGCGGGGCCAGCAGGACAGAGCGGGGCACGGCTGGCAGGGATAAGCCCGGGCTCCCGGGAGTGGGAGGCGGTAGATGGCTGGGGGAGCGGGCATGGGCTCAGCGTGCAAGCCATTGGGGCATTGTGGGCCCAGAGATGCCAAACATGGACAGTAGGGCCGGGCAGGGGGCACCTCCAAGCAACCCCTGGGCAGGAGGAATGCCAAGCAGCAGGGAGTCTGCCCAAGAGGGCACTGGGGCATCCCAGGCAGGAGGCAGCACAGCCACAGCTTGGCAGCATCTGGCTTGCTGAAGGCATTGTCTCTTCCTCACAGCCCGACGGCACCCGCGTTCCCGTGGAGATCGTGCTCTTGGAGAAGGTGGGCTCTGGCTGCCACAACATCATCCAGCTCCTCGACTGGTTTGAGCTGCCTGACAGCTGCCTGCTGGTGATGGAACGTCCGCAGCCATCTCAGGATCTCCTGCACTTCCTGCTGGAGCAGGGCTTCCTGTGTGAGGAGATGGCACGCTGGCTTTTCTGCCAGGTGCTGGGGGCCGTGCGGCACTGCACTGCCTGCGGCGTCCTGCACCGAGACATCAAGCCGGAGAACCTCCTGGTGGACCTGGAGAGCGGCGAGCTGAAGCTCATTGACTTCGGTTGCGGCACCTTTCTCCAGGAGCAGGTCTTCACGCAATTTGCCGGTGAGCCCACAGCCCGGGCCCTGCTCCCAGTGCCAGGCACTGCACGGCCCCATTCCCTCCTGGGCTGCAGGCTGCATCCTTCAGCTGGCTGCTGGCTGCCCCTTGGCAGCAGATGCTGTGCCCCAGGAGCTGGCTGCTGGCCCTGCCCACAGGGGCGGCTGCAAAAGCCAGCTCCTGGCCCCTCAGCTTAGCAGGCCCACAAGGGCTTGGGCTGCTCTGCTGGCCTTCTTTGCCTTGCAGAATGGTTTCTTGGCTTTGGCCAGTTGCCTGGGGGATGTGGGCTGGCCTCGGGGAGAAGTTGTGTCCACCGCTGCAGCTCCTGCCTCTGCCAGGAGGCGGGCACCAGGCGCTGAAAGCCAGCAGCCTGCATCTGGACAGGGCCAGCCATCTCCCCTAGGAACACACGCGTACAGCCCACCCGAGTGGATCTGCCTTGGCGTCTACCATGGCCATTCAGCGACCATCTGGTCCCTGGGCGTGCTGCTGTATGTCATGGTGTGTGGCAACCTCCCCTTCCAGGAGGACTGTGACATCAGGTTGGGGCAGCCCTTCTTCAGGCAGCAGATCTCTCCAGGTCGGTATCTGGCCTCAAGTAGACAGACTCTTGCAGATGGCAGCATGCAGCCCAGCATGGCCCTCACCCAGCTCCACAGGACATGGATCTGCCCTCAAGAGCTGGCCGCAGGAGGTGGCCCATGCAACTGAAGGAGGTGCATGTGTCCCAGCGTGCCACTCTCCCACACAGGGCAGAGTCCCTTGGGAGGCTGGCGCAGCTCTGAGCACACGCAGCGCGGCCCGGGCCCTGTGGGCGCCGTCAGCAGCTGAGCAGGAGCCTTCTGAAAATGACCAGCACTCTCTGGCTTCTCTCCCCAGAGTGCCAACATCTGATCCGCTGCTGTTTGTCCAAGCACCCCGCGGACAGGCCAGAGCTGGAGGAGATCTTGCGCCACCCTTGGGTGCGGGGCCGGCGTTTCTGATGCCTTGCTGGAGCCTCTGCAGCACCCACTTCCTGAATCCCATGCAGGACTGAGGACCCAAAAAATAAAACCATAAACCATAAGCATATTCTAGGCTGTCAAGTCTGGTTCTTGTCAGCAACTTCAGCTAAAGAGACCTCGTGATCAAAGGCACTCCCTTCAGCCTTTGTCAAGCTTTTGATGCCTTTCCTCCAGGATGGTACTTTTGCATCTTCAAGCACAGGCTGTAGTACAGCTAGGAGGGTGTTTAACAAGCCAAGAAGTGCAACAGTGAAACAACAGCTGCCCTTTCAAACTGTCCAGCTTCTTGGTGTCTCCTGAAATGAAACTAAGGCTGTGTGTGCATTCCAAGGGCCAGCGGGTGGCAGGAGCCGAGATGTTCCTCTGCTACCAAAGCTGTGCTTCTGGAAGCACCAAAACTTCCTTTCAGATTGAGCCCTGATGAACTCTTCCTCTTTCTTCCCCTCAAATGGGAGGCAGGGCTGGGCCTTTGACCAGCTGGCTCCACAGCTACCTAAGTCATGCACATGGAGCTCAAGGGAAATGTTGAGATGCTGGAGTCACTCCCATGCTGCTGGGTTCCGTGCACTTCCCCAAAATATCTTCCTCTGCCTTAAAAACAACTCATGGAGATGGAAAGTGCAGTAACTATTCTAGTCACAGGAAAGAACCCAGTTGCCTGCCCTGGGCCTGGGGGCAGGTGCCATCTACTAAACCTGTGCCACCTTCTGTCTACTGCACTCACCTACCAAAACAGGTGTCAGGAAAATTAATCCACAAACACCAGAGGTTTATATCCAAAAAGGAGACAGAGGAGTCCTTTTTCCTTTATTCGAATCAAGAGAGAGGCCATGGGGCATTCCCCTGGGGTCTCTCAAATTTTTGGAGGGCGCAGCCTCCTTTTTATCCTAATTCCCAGCCGCTTGTCCCTTCTCTCTTTCCCCATAGGCTGAGGTACTTGACAGGTACAGACTGCCCGGAACGCCTGATACCTGCCATACCTTCCCCCCCACCCCCAATGCATAATCCCTTCTTCATTCTTTACTTTTATGGAATTCATAGTGTCCTTTCAGTGCCTCTTTGATCTTTTAGTGGAATCCATCCCATTGTTTCTATTGTCTCTCACTGATAGCTGCTTCTTATCTGTCTCATTAGGGACTTTTGGATTAGGTTCTTTTTCCCTTGGAACTGAAGATTGATGAGAGGGAGGCAGTTTTCTCTTGTTCAGTCTCAGTTGATTATTTTTTTCTTATCAGCTTTACAAGGTACAAGGAGCTATGTGCACTATGATAGAAAAGGGTAAAATGGCTTACAAAGATCCTCTTCAAGGTATTTTATATGTCCATTTACCCAATTAACAGATGTCAACTCAATTATTTTTCCTAGTGACCCAATGGCCCAACACCTGTGCGCTGCACTGTGGCATTTTTTACCCAATCACTTACTACTACCCAGAAACCCCTCGGAGAAGAACATGAAGAAGAAAAAAGAAGGACAAGAGACAACACCCTAAATCCTGCATCTTGTCTCCTGTTCTCTAAACTACTTTTTCACCCAGTGATTTAAGAAACTTTCTAATCTACACACTTACACTTTTCCTATCTAACTTTAACATTTGTTTTCATGTATCACCATGAAAACATGCTCATGAATTTCATGTCATATGAAATTCAGTGTTTCTTTGACTCCTAGAACTAAGTATTAGAAACAAGGGCACACACTCTGTATCTCAGACTCCAACAAGTCCTAAGTTTTGTTCCATACCCACCAATTCACTTTGTCTGCTTCCATTCTACTACTGCTTGCAGTGTTCCATACCCCTGGATCTGTTTCATTTTCAGAGCCTTCCCACTTCATGCACCAAGGGGTATCTGCCATATATTGGAATTTCTGAAGCAAACTCACTGACCATGCACTGTTCCACGCTTCAGCCCGATCCTTTCTTTCCTGTCTTTCATACTTCCATTTTGACACTGGAATCTTTTCTTTAATAACCTTTGCTATCTCTTCATAACACTATCCATAATTCCCTAATCTCCCATACCAGCCTAGTTTTGGTTCATCCTTTCCTCCATTTTCATGACAATGCCATAGAGATGAATACTTTGGCTTCACAGCATTTTCAAGCACTGTCTTCTTTTGGTACTCGTAATCTATTTGCAATACACAGCTCACATTTTCACTTTTATTCTTTTGTATTTCAGGAAATTTTGATGTTATAATTCCCCAACTTATTAGGTCTCCTGGTGCCTTTGGTATTGGCAGACAGGCAGTTATTTTGCTGGTGTTTTGCATGTTGGCAAAATCTTGAATTAATCCAATCATCCCATTTTCTGCCTGGATAGTATTAGAGACTTTTATCACTTGTGTTTCTGGCTGCACCCCCACATCCCTCTTCATTCTAAAATGGAGAGCTGTCAGCTGATCCTTTTGCATTTCACATCTCAAGGTAACATTGATTCCAACTGATGGCACTAAAGGCCATCAAATAATCACCATTACAGTCACTAGCAACCTAGACATTTGAAACAATCAAACCCGCTTTATCTGCAGCTCTGTTGGCCCTACAGTTTGTGCAGTCCACAGTGCAGGGGAAACCTTCTTCACTCTGGTGTAATGTATGCAGGGATCCAGTCCAGCTCCTTTGACTGCTGTCAAGGTAGTTAACAGTACCTGATAGGGTCCATTCCACCTTTCTTTTCATGGTTCTTCCTTCCAGCTTTTACCGTACACTTCATCTCCCGGGGGGATGCCATGAACTGGATTCTCAAGAGTCAGTGGCCTATTCCACACAAGGGTGCTCCAAAGTCAAGCTAGAGCTTTTCCAAGAGACAGAACATAATTCTACACCTCTTGCTTCCCTGTAACATGTACATTTGGATTAGGTTCAGGGGATTCCTAGGGTTTCCCATACAATATCTCATAAGGACTGACTGACATCCCGCTTCGAGGCTTTATCCAAATCCTCAGCAGTGCTATTGGTAAAGCTTGTGGCCACTGCAATTTAGCTTCTTGGCATATTTTGCTGATTTGCCTCTTCATGGTCTGATTCATCCTCTGTACCTGTCCACTGGATTGGGGTCTCTATGGTGTATGGAGATCCCAAGATATTCCCTGCAACCTACTCATCTCTCCCACTGCCGTGGCTATCAAATGTGGTCCCCTCTCTGATGATATTCCTAGAGGCACCCCAAATCTTGGAATGATTTCTTGCAGAAACCACTTGACTGTCTCCTTTGCTTGATTTGTGTGACAGGGAAGAGCTTCTGGCCATCCTGAAAATGTGTCAGCCCCTACCAATAGATATTTATATCCTCGAGTTCTTGGTGATTCTACAAAACCTTCTTGCCAATAATCTCCTGGTTTTACTCTTAACCCAATTTTCCCCAATTGTGCCTGTCGTCTAGCTGCTGGATTGTTCTTCAAGCAAATTTCACATTTTGACATTACTGATTTTGCCATTGTTAACATCTGTACTGAAATTAAATTTAGTTTGACCAATTTCACCAATGCCTCTGCACCCCAATGACATTTGTTCTGTTTAATTTGTAGAACTTCTCTCATTCTCAAGGGGGGTACCACTACTTGTCCCTGTGTAGTCACCTACCACCCTACTGAATTCTTCTGTGCATTCAGTGAGCATCCCAATTTCTCATCCTCTGAATATTTTGGTTCTGGAGGTAAATTGAATTGAGATACATGAGTTTTTAAAGGTATCAATACCATTGCAGTTTGCACTTCTCGAGCAGCTTGTCGGGCTGTCCAGTCTGCTTTCCGATTTCCCTCATGAATTTTGGAGCTTCCTGACTGGTGAGCTTTGCAGTGCATGATTGCTACTTCCTCAGGCTTTTGTACTGCTTTTATTAATTGCAGGACTGCATCTTGATGTTTAATGTGTGTGCCTTGAGAAGACAGCAGTCCTCTTTCTTTCCACAGTGCCCCATGTACATGCACCACTCCAAAAGCATATTTTGAATCAGTCCAGATATTTACTTTCTTCCCTTCACTCAGCTCTAATGCCCTGGTTAAAGCAACCAGTTCTGCTCGTTGGGCAGATGTGTTTGCTGGCAAGGCCTTTGTCTCCACCACTGCACCTGTTGTTGTTACTGCATATCCAGGGTATCTGGTCCTGTTCTCCACAAAACTGCTTCCACCTGTAAACAGCTCCCAGTCTGCCTGTTCCAGTGGGACATCTTTCAGCTCTAGCTGAACAGGTGTGTTCTATCACTTCCACACAATCGTGTTCCAATGGGCCTTCTTCAGTTTATGGTACCTAGGAACAAAGCTGGATTCAAGAGGTTAGTTGTCTTTAGTGTGACATCATCCTGCTCAGTCAGGATTACCTGGAATTTCATCATCCTGCTTGGAGATAGCCAATGGCTCCCCTTTTGTTCTAAAACAGTGCTCACCATGTGTGGCACATAGACATCTATGTGTCTACCCATCGTGAGTTTCCTAGTTTCTTGTGTCAGCATCACGGTGGCTGCAACTGCCCACAGGCACGAAGGCCATCCAGCACTCACGTGGTCAAGTTGTTTGGAGAAGGAGCTTACCAGCCTTTTCCAGCTTCCCAAACCTTGGGTCAGCACTCCCTGTGCTAGATGTAGTCTTTCATGCACAAACAGCTGAAAATCTTTGGATAGGTCAGGCAGTCCTAATGCTGGAGCTGTTGTCAATGCCTCCTTCAGTTTGAGGAAGGTCTCCTTCTGTGGTTTGCCCCAGGTAAACGGCTGTGTCTTGTGGGCTTCATTCAGGGGTTTTGCTATTAGTCCATAGTCCATGATCCACAGGCAGCACCATCCGCACATCCCGAGGAAGACTCGCAGCTCATGCAGGTTCTGGGGTTCTGGAATGGCACAAATACCTTGAATATGATCAGTACCCAGCTTTCATTGCCCTTGTGAGATTTCACATCTCAGGTAAATCACAGTCTGCTGGGCAATTTGTGCCTTCTCTTTAGACACCTTATATCCTCTCACCAGCTGATTTAAAATTTCAATTGTTACCTTTATGCAGGTTGTCTTTTCCTCTGTAGCTATCAGTATATCATCAACATACTGTCACAGCAGGTATTGCTCCCTCGGAACTTGCCCA